TATCGAGAATGTCGATGCTTACAATGATTGTGAGATATAATCATGTATATGGCGCATGCTGACGGTACAGCGAAGAAGACCAGAGGGTTTCCTAGAAAGAGAGGAAAAGCGAAGGCTGAATGGCAGAAAGGAATTGAAGAGGCAAATAAATACCTTGTACGGTACGGTACTGACATCGAACCCCTTTATTTGCGATACTTTTTCTACTGCTATTACATAATGGGATGGGTCATATAAAAGCTAAAAATGCAAAGTGAAAATGGGAGGTCATGCTGATCAGAACGAGTGGGGGACAATAGGAAACCGTCCTTTATGGGCAATGGCGAAGCGTCTGTTTTGTAGATTTAGTCAACGTATACGTCATCAGCAGACGATAAACTATCGCTGTACGCCCTCGCCACATATTCGGCAATAAACAGTCCATACAAATGGGCCTGATCAATCGAAGAAGTTTTTGGGATGACGATCTCGTTGAACTCGGAACAGCAAATGAAGGTGAACCCGTTATTAGCGTAATTAAATCCAATTCGAGACAGACTGCGCCTGGGTCGTCACCCGCCTTCTCGCACGGGAATGAGAACTTGCTTGGCAGGAAAGCCCGCTTTTTCGCTGTCGTTTGGCAACGAATCAATCATTTTTCTCGTTAGGGAAGAAGAGATCAAAGGGTTGTACGGAGTTCTATCTGAATTTGATAATCGGAAGGCCATAAAAATAAGTTCGCCATGGATCAATGAGCTTTTGAACTGCGAAAAAGGTCGACTTACGATATTGAAGTTGAATGGAACGTTCTGGAGCCAGCAAAAAAGGTAGCGGACTATTCAGAGGGTACAGAAGGTGGGGTTCCAGAAGTTCAGGCATATCTGATGATTCTGATAATCTTTGGCTTTGTTCATTAAAACAACATAATTGATTTCATCACTTAGCTAGAGACTATCTGTATAGTGGGATCCTCTAGCCAAGTAAGGGCGTTTTGGATTCCAAGCGCTTTAGAAATTCCATGCTCACTGAACGATCGAAAGGACATCTCGACCATTTCGGTTTTCGGAAACATTTTGGTTCAACAGCTGTTTAACAATCTGAATTGCATTGAGTGGGAGGAGGGTTGGGAGGAAGGGGGGAGGGAGTAGATGGAGGACCGAGTATTCATGGATGAAAAGATGTTCTCCGATGAGGAACAGATAAATCATGGTATATCATCCTGGTTCTACCATTATGATGGTATCACGATGAAGAGTCGTTGAGAGAGGAAAGAGAGAAAGAAAAAGAAAAGAAACAGAACAGATAAAAAAAGAGAAATGGAAGAGGAACAGTTGGTGTAAGCCATCATGTTCTGAAAATTTGTTTATTTGGATAAGTATCAGGACGGCACGATTATCAACTTCCACGGCGGTTGCAGAATCTTCCAGGGTCATAAAACTTGAGCAAATCAAACGACGTTGTAACTCGTCACACATAGCTCCTGCGTGTCGGTCCTGAACCACGTGTGGGTGACGTCTATCACTCCCACACCTGGTTCATGTCAATCTGTTTGAGACAGCGGTAGGGTTCAACGGTCACCTACGTTGAGCTTTTCTGCATAGCTAATTCGGGGAGGTTACAAAGTCTATGACTGAATCTATGGAAGTTTTTC